GTGTATGATTCCTGATACACTGGTATTATACAGCAGTGGAACAGTGTGTTCTATATAATGGGCAAGTCTAAGCAAAGTGTAATGCTAAACTCCAGGTGGATTAAAAAAAAAACACCATTTAAAGCTGAACTCCAAGCAAACAGAAGAAATCCTCATAAGGGAGCTGTTTTGCCTGTCAAAGGATTTGTATTTCTGTCTATCCATTCTTGAGATTCATGCAGCTCTGGCACACAGGACATCCAGGTTGATGACACCTTTTTCTATGTTTTATATGTCCTGGAGCTTGGCTGTTACATGCGTAATACATTTATTAATTGCAACTAGTCTAAGTAACTGAATCTGCCTTAAAGGAGAACTATGGGGTCATTGTTTTTCCCCATAGTTCTCCTTAGGGTAACGGGAGGACACAAACTAGCGTCCTCCCGTTACCCTAAGCTCAGTATACCGCGAGCTGTAGCTCCCTATATACTGAGAGGCCGGAGCGGATCCCGACGTAGATGACGGGATCCGCCCAGCTGCGTGAGTGACAGCTGGCTCTGCCTATCTAGAGGCAGAGCCAGCTGTACCCGCCCCCGTCCGTTCCACCAGTCAGCGCTGGCAGATCAGAGCGGGGAGAGGGGAATCCAGCCCCTCCCCCTGTCACGGCAGAGAGCCGTTACAGGATCGAGAGGCGAGCGAACCCGGTATGTGTTCGCTCACCTCCCGATCTACTGAGCCGACCTGTGACAGTCTCATTGTCACAGGTCGGCTAGAACTATGAGGTGAGTGAAAAGCACTCACCTCATAGTTCTCCTTTTAAATTCTGTTTTTTTTTTTTGTATCTCATAATTGTTCTGACCAGGTTGTACAGAAATTGAACATATCAATGTGTGAGACGAAGGACAATGCATGTGTAATGCTTACCTAAATGGGCCAAGTTTTTATTGGGGTCAATTGTGGACCGGGTCAGTGGGCAGAAGGGCTTAATAGTATTTGATGACTCCAGATGGTGTCTGCTATGGAGGGGATAGTTCATTTCATGATGACACGGTTTTCTTTACAGTGAAGGGCCACACCTGCCATGGTAAATTCTTGCTCGGTCAGGTCGGCCTATGGCGCGGATTTGCATTCTGTTTGAGCTTGTAGATTCTTTAGCCTTTTCGTTTTCTTGAATCCCATCCAAGCTGCTCTGCAGTGTTTAGACTTTTTGTCTTTATCTCGACCAAGTCTGAAGATAATGGGGTCTAAGTGTGGTAGGTTGAAATCATTGTCAAACAGGAAGTTCCCACTTTATAAACACCATTATTTAATAGAGGACAGCCGCTAACGTATTCCACTCCTTTAAAGTGAAACTCCACCATGTGTACCTTCATTTAAAACAGACAATAGTCATTTTAATTCATTATATTGTTCTGTATCTACATTTGTTTTTATTCTACTGTTTTGTGGATGGGGGTTAAATAGGCTGGGCAAAGTGACAGAGTATTGTGAATGCCCCCCCTCAACACCTATACATAAAGAGTACATTCAGTGGGAAGCAATGTGAAGGTGAGCAAAGCGGGTCCGGGGGTCACTGTCACTTTTAATGGTCTGGCTGCCAGTTACAGATGCTGGTTACTTCTGGATGGCCCTGAATCTTCCAAAATGCAGGTCATGTTTTTTCTGGTTCCAGGCACTGCCATTTGTATTTTTCACAGACCAGAATCATATGATGAGAGGCTGTGGTACCACTCCAGAAGTGCAAGGATCTAGCTGATAAGTTTGTGCAACATTTGCAAGCTATCCCTCCAGTTCCATGCTAATATGAAAGGCACTACATGTGAAAATACACCAACGTTTGTATACATAATCCTATAATAGGCCCTGCAGAATGGGTTTACGTAGACATATGCATAGGCCATTCTATCTTCTTTTCTCCTCTCTGCTCAGCTTCATTCAAAACTGATTTTTTCAATCTTGTATGATTGCTAGAAGGCTAAATTATATTCTGCCTTCCTGTGTCTTAAGGACTCTAGTACTGAGATGTCCCCATCAGAATTGCCAGTTCCACCCAAATAATAAACAAAAATATTCGCTCTACTGGCTTTTCCACCCTTCAAAATTGCATAAAATAGTGACAGCTGCAGTGAAAGACCAAGAAGTGAAAAAAAAAACACAACCCCATGGCAAACAATAGCAAACATACTGTATAGTATAATTTTCTTTGTTTGATTTGAACATTGATTGACTCTTTAGAATTGTAGGGTTTGGTGAAAAGGGTTTAATGATAAGGGGAGATAGCACAGTGTAATATAGTTCTACCCAAATGCAATCACCATTAAAGCTCTATCAGAAAGCCATGAAAATAGAATATATCTCCTTCATACCTTGTTCCTCATTGTTGAACATTCAGGTATCCCCGGGGGATCCATTGCAATAGGATAACAACATTACGGCCTTGAGGAAGGGGAGAGAAGACACACACTACTACATGGAATGGAGTCTTTAAGAGATACAGAAAGACATTGATTGATTCATCTCACACATGCCTACCCAAAATTAAAACGTATCTTGAGTTGAACATTAAAAAAGAACATTAAAAAAGGATAAAACTGACGTCTTTAAAGGTTTTATTTGAAGTTTTTCTCATTTTTTTCCCCTTCAGCCGGCATTGCTGCCTGAGCTTAGTGCTGCATCTTTCCCCCTCTTTTGGCAAGAAGAATAATAGGACAGGACAGGATTGTTTATACATTGTATGAAAAATGAAAGGCTTCTAGTGCTGCTTAGTATCTTAACACAGCACAGATTAGACATGGAATAAAATACTTTGTGAAACACTTGAAGGTAATAGCCGTTCCTGGCAGCCAGGGTCTCTGCTGCCCATTCTTCAATTTCTCCGTCCACCGTGACAAAATAACAGGCTTTCTTAATGGAAGCGGACCTCACGTACAAGGAAGAACACCCAGTTGTTTACTGCAGTGTCAGATTCTGGACTTACCCTATTTGGCTGATTTTAAGGTAGTCTTTAAAACCACGCTCTGTCCTTGTTTCCCATTGTGCTCCTGTGTTGTCACCCTGTCGAATGGGCTTCCAAGCAGACATGGTCCACTGTTGTCATCATTAGAAAAACCTTCTCCCCGGGGAAATGTAAATGTAGAGCGGTCCCCACAGCCCCTCTCCTTCTCCTCTCCGGCGATGGAACGCCACTTAGTGTCCCCACATCCTATACACTCTATAGAACATGATGACCCATAGGACCTTAGAGCACTGGAGCGGATGGGGAGTGAGTTTTCAGGGACTAATCTAGCAGCAGCTGTCTCCGAGGTTCAGGTGAAAACGAGCCCTTAACCGTAAACCTAAATCCTATCTGGTGATCCTATCAGTAAAGAGTATATATGTACTTCGTTTCTAGGGTGACAACACTTACTGAATTCACTTGCAACATTGTCACCTTTTCCTACACGGCCCCAAGTTGGGTCACGCCAACTTGCAGTGTGCTAGCACGCTCCACCAAAGTCACCATATTAAAACTGTGTTCATCCACCTATGAGGGCATGCATATATCACAGGAAGTACAACGTGCAGGGGGAGATAATATAACCAAAGTAAGGGGAAAATTGGATTTTTCTAACAACAAAAAAATGTGATCCAGCTTTAGTTATCATGATCTACCATACTAAGTATTTTTTCTGGTTTGAGTTTAGATTTACTTTACCTTCACCATGTCTCCCGTCATATAAGTGACCCTGCAGGTAATGTTCAGTGCAGCTCACAGAGGCAGTATGTATGAAGACCTGTTAAAGCGCCAATCTAATACCTGAGTATGACATTTTTTTTTAGATACAGATTCATTAAAAGGAATTATAAGGATAACCTTTCCTATATTGAGAGGTGGAACTTCCCTTTAACCTATCAATGTTCTCACTCTGTGCACCGAGCACTCCTGAAATGTAATCTTTTGTTGAGACAACCTCTATAGCCCTAATTCCACCTTCTCAGTTCCTGAACTTGACTCCCTAATGCCTGTATTGCTTTCAAAGCCCCGGCATTCCTGGAAAGGTTGCATTAAAAGCTTTTAAAACTGGCTCTGGCATTACAGCATGGAGCGGAGCTGCCAATGGGGGTCTTGGTTTGAAGGCAAGGCTCTGATAATTTCAAGAGCTCACGGAATGTCGGCCCAATCACAGCATGTCATAGGGAGAAATTGTCAGACATACAGCGACCTAAAGGCCGCGTCATGACCTTATTTTCGTCTGTTTGTAGAGATCAGCTTGAAAAAGCTTTATTGTTTGTCAGAATATAAATCTGATCAACTCTCTTAATTGTAGGAAATCCTTAGAATCCTTATCAGAAAAGCCAGTTTCCTTGTGTAGAAGAAGGTTTATTTACTGTATATTTGGGATGCACCGATACCGTTTTTTCAGTATCGAGTACTAGTACCGATATTTTTTCCCCCGATACTCACTGATACCGGAAGTCTGATACTCACTGATACCGGCAGGGAAGCCATCTCCATGCTCCCTTGTCACCAGGTGACAAGGGAGCTTGGAGACGGCTTTCTGGCCAATCAGAAAGCCAGGCGCCGTGTAACGACACATTGCCCGTTTCCTTATTGGTTGAAAAGTTGGCCAATCAGGAAGCCAGGCAACGCGTCATTACACGGCGCGTGGCTTCCTGATTGGCCAGGAAGCCAGCTTCATGTTTCCTCGCCATCAGGTGACGAGGGAGCATGAACCCGGCTTTGTGGCCAATCAGGAGGCCGGGCAGCGTGTAATGTCTCGCTGCCCGGCTTGCTTCCTGATACTGCAAGCTCAAGTATCGGGCTAGGCATCGGAGCATTTGGGCGAGTGCGAGTACTCGCCCAAATACTCCTTATCGGCACCTATACTAGTGTCGGTGCATCCCTACTTTATACCCAGGCATAGAGAGATGGGAGAATGTCTACAATTTATGAAATGCATGTAGCCACCTTGTTAGTATATTATGCTTGAGAGGGTGAAGGTGGGCATGCACGCAGCACCGCTGCCAGTTATCTTACAGCAGGGTGGGTGCAGTCAGAAACAAGACTCCCCTGTTGCTCTGTGCATGGCTTGTGTGTGAAATGAAACTTATGGATCACAACCTCAGCAAAAGCCTGCTGTCAGTCACAGCTCCTGAAAGGAAAAGTCATCAGTCTGCAAACCTGACAAACGTTTTCATGTTATCCAGCAGAGAATTGGAGGAAATGTGAAAAGTAAGTACAATCATGTACATGAGTTAAGCTGGGTATAAATGTCTCTATTTTCTTCCTTCAACCTGCCGGCTTCTCATTGGCTGCTCCCTCTGCTCGGCCGAGAATTTCCTACGATCAGCTGAACGAGGGATGACGGTCGGAAAGGTGCCAATAGCAACACCCACGCGTCGAATATCGTACGGTTCATCAAGTACCAGCCATAAAATTCCAAGCGTGTATACCCGGCTTAAGGCATTACTTTTTATTGCAGTGCAGAGTATAGAAAAGCGTGGCGTGGAGTTGAATTAAGTGTCATTAAAAAAAGTTTTTAAAATAGCTAGCACTGTGATGCATTCTAACAGCACAGCGCACATGCAGAACGCACATCAGCGTGTTTTATGAAGGCTATAATTTGCATCCACTGGTATGAACGGGTCCTTATTTGCACAGTGCTGCCATTCCATATGTCACTCCACAAGCTGTAGATAGTCTGAGCCTTACCAGGCTCTCATAGTCTGACCCTGCAGCCTCCAGCTGTAAAATAAATTGGGATTCAGGATAAAGTATGGATACAGACGTAGCCCAGTCACATCATTCCAGAAATATCTCTCATAGCCTCATAAGTGTCTAGCATGGCTCTTTGATCAGACATTCGTCTCCTCCATACATTGGTGGTGGTTGGAGGGGAGGGGGACGTTTTCCCTCCTCTTGCTCAGACTTTCCCAGTTGTCTTAGAAGCTTTCTTCAGTCAGATAACAAGTAGAAAATGAAAAGTCGGCTAATTTAATACATACGTCTGATCCTGCTGGAGGGCAATTACCTGGGCGTTTGGTAAAGGCCGGCGCTCCGGTTACGTAGCTCACGTCACTCTGTATGTCTGTGAGGTTATCTGGACTGTTGAGAGGACAAATTATGTTTAGATGTGGTGAGGCCCCTGCAGCAACTCGGCAGCACAATATTATTCATGGGAAAGACTCTCTCAGGGCTTTTATTCTATCAGCTATTCTGATTAGGGGACATTTCATTTTCAGAGCAACACCAGAAAAAATGAGTGGGCTGCTATTGCTCCCCAAAAAATGCTACTGAAATCAGAACGATCATTTAATTCACATTTCAAGAGGTCTTTCAGGGTGACCACGCTTGTGTCGCCATCTTGGAGGTATTTGAACATCTTTATAAATGATAAGCAAAGGTTGTGATATCTGGGGTTTGTGCACCTTATGCCTATAAAGTCTCTGGGCAACCCCCTCTGGTATTTGTCCCTCAGAAAGTCTAAAACCATCGTTCTCTTAATGATGTGATAAGCGAAGTCCCTTATGGGATTATTGATTGTGATTTTGCCAATCAGGGTTGCTAATGGCAATTTTAAAGTAATGTGATTAACAATCTACCATTACAAGCAGTGCTTTGCTAACTGTATTTAAAGGGGAAATCTATTTTTTCTGTTTTGCTTTCCTGCACCTGTTAAAAAGGTTTTGCTGTAATACTCACCCTCAACTCAAAGCTGCCCTCCGCAGTGCTTATATTTTGCCACTAGGTGTCATCAGCCTTCTGGTTTGAATGACAGCCAACATGAGCACAGGCTGTCAGGGGCCCATCTCCTGGGGTGATGTCATCTTGCAGGCTAGCTGGCATTATATGTCCAAGGGGAATGACTTCCTGCCGCCATTGCAGTAGAAGAAGGACCTGTGACATCACTGGAGCTGCCTGTAGACTTCAGAAATAAATATGTATGATTTTTTTCCCGGTAGTGGAGATACCTGGAGTTCCACTTTAAGACAACTTCTACCTTCAATTAATGCAAAACTTTACTAAGCCAAATATGTAGTCTGTCATTGCTGACCTCATTCTGAAAATGCAAGCTGCGTGGCTATCTCTGGCCTCTGACCTGGAATAAGTAAGCAGATCAGCAGTTCAGATTTGACTCTGACCTCATTTGCTGCATGATTTTTTTATGACTTGGAAGGTATTGAATCCAAATACAGCCAGGCAAATAACGTTTTCAGGAATAGGTCAGCAAAGGTAGATGTCATGTGCTGCTAGTGAGAGAAAACAGCGCGAGCAGAAATGTTGGTTTATCCGTGTGTTGAGGCTTCTTTATTGTCCGTCCAGCAGGCTGTGAGTGGGCAGATGACACCGCTGCATGCGATAACTGAAAAAGGTGTCACCATTTCAGCTGTTCTTTCTTGCAGAACTGTATGATGCACACAAATGGCTGGACAGAACCACAAAAACTTTGGCATAGATGATAGTTTGCATACATGTAAGTCGACTGTGTATTTAACATTTTGCCTTAAGTGCAGCTTTAAAATTTTACAAAGTGAAGACAATTGGGGGGAAAGCGTAAGTTGTGAGGACAAATGTTTTGCTGACTTCTTGTATAGAATTATAATAGCTGAGACTCCATTAATACAAACAGTTACAGAGTCAGAAACTGGGGGACTCGTTGTACAACCAGGCAGGTAAGCGCTGCCCATTATGACTGCTTGACAACTTTTTTTTCTTGAACAAAAATATGGAAGCGCACCGCTGTGATATGATCAGATCTCTCACTCGTTGGCTGTGTGGGAGCTGGTGTGCATAAACTCTTCAAAAAACCGGGAGAGGAGCCCCGTGTGGCATATTGATCAAAACACAGTATGTAGAAGAGTGCAACTACCTCAATAACTAAATAAATGTGTGGATAAACAATTGCTGTGCAGCCTGCTATAACTGGCTGAATAATTAAGATAAATGTGTGACTTACAATTAGGATGTGATCGGTCGGCAAACGAAGTCCCTGCAATCACATAGGGGTAACGATACTGGTCCATTTGCTACTGGTCTGGAGTGTCCAGGTTATCCCCGGGGTATCCCCAGTCACCGCTCGGCCTGGCCAGCCGATGACGCGGTGTCTGGGGATACCCCGGGGATAATCTGGACACTGTGAAACTGTGTTTTGATCAACTTTTTTTTCTTATTGGAATCCCTTTTAAATTCGTCAGATATAATATATTCTGGTGAAGTGCCGCATATAATTTTTGGAATGACGCTGCTGTCTAATAGAAACCAGCTGTGGTTCCAGGGGTTAATGGAGCCTCTGATAAGTAGAGCATGAAACCAGAGGAGCCTCATGTTAGTGGAGAGGCTGCGGTTTGATCTGCACCAGATATTAATCATGAACAAGACCGTACTTTGATGCTCGCCACTTGTCAAAGGCAGCACGGACCATCCACCATAAACAGCCGCTGTATTTTCAAGCGGGTTCCCGTACTGGAGCGCCTTCAAGAAGAAATGCAGCATAGTCAAAATGTTATACCCGTTACATTCTGTTTACCTTATTTTCATATTTTTCCATGTATCTTTGCCACTCTACACTCATCTGTTTGAGGGACTCTTTATGTCGTTAAAGCAGAACGCCAGGAAAAGCATTCATTTTTTTGGAAAGAGTAGGGAAGAGCTAGTCAGCTTTTATCCATGTGGCCATTGGGGATCTCACTACTTGACCCACCGACCACTGTGGTTTGTCTTTGCTTCAGCCTTGTCTGTAAGACCCCTTTTACATGGGCTTTCCAACCGGGAGGGGGGATCCGTGTACAGATGTTCTGCTGATCGGAGCAGTGTGGAATGAATGTCACTTTCGGCATGGTAAGATGGAGGAAAAAACTGAACGGACACGAATGTCACAAAAGTGCCATGTTAGGTTATGGGCAGTCGGATGAAAACGGAGATGTGTACGTTTACCTCTGACCTGTCCCGTTCAGGCCTGCCAAAACAGAACTCTGTTTTATTCTGTACCTAGACAGATCGTCAGAATTAAATAGACACGCGTCCATTTATTTCCACTGCCCCGTAGACTTACATTTAGCTTACAACCAGGTCTGCTTGAAAAACTGACAGGCGGACCTGATCGGAACCCCGGAGGAAAGGGGCCTAAACGTGGCCATACACTGTGCGAATATCAGCCAATTTTGGCTGAAATCTGCACAGTGGGTGAAGCTGCCGGCCCCCTTTCGGACTAAAAATCCGGAGTAACCAGAACAGGAATAGAGACGAATTCTTCCAATGAGGACGCTTGTTCCGCTGACAACTGTTTAAGCCCCTCACGTCTTGTTATGTCTACAGGACAGGAAATAAAAGGAAGTCTCACCGCTAACACATACAGTAGATGGCAATACCTGACAGGGGTATTATCCACTCCCTACTCTATCCAAAATGAAAACATTTTGGACTTATATACACTTTAAATGCAACTAGTGTGAACACCAGAATGTGACTTGATTTCAGCCCCTTCAAATCCTCTGTATAGCAGCATTCAGGCTGGGAGAGAGTGGGCTAGAGCAGTACTAGGGGCAATCAGATGTGCTGCATGGGCATATGCTGAAAAGGAACAAACTAGAGAACAAAGTAGAGAGCAGGGAGGTGACCCCATCAGTATGTCCTGCTCTTTCATTATCCAGTAACAGGATTGGAAAACAGAAGAAGGGCAGGTCGCATGACATAATCTAATATGCAGACCAAGAAGTTCAGACCATTTATAGGAAAGTATAAATTCATTTATTAAGTCATATATAATTTAAGCATGAAACATATTATTGCACCAGATCCCAACACCAAATAAAAAATTTGACAACGTTGTCCAATCATGCATTACCATTCACACACTTCTGAATGGGTCATCTTGAGACCTACTGGTAGTTGGTATTTTTAATGCACCCAAGGGTTGACTTTCATATATATTGAGCTCACTGCTGCCCAGTGGGTTGTTAATTTGTATAAATCCACCTGTGTTTGTGTATAGAATACTCATGGGCTGTCAACCAATCAATTGTGTATACTATGCAACAGGTATCTTGGATTGA